GTCTGTCTCTCTATCTATCTATCTCTCTATCTATCTCTCTATCTATCATCTTTCTGTTAACAGCCATCCATTTATCCATCCATCTGTCCATCAACTATATATACTTCTACCCAGCCTTGATAGTTTATAATACACTTTCCCACACATTTGATACACACAAACCTGAGAAGCAGGCATTGTCCGCATCTTAAAGCCAAGTAAATTAAAGTTCAGAAAAACAAAGCGACTTGGTCCAGGTTGCACAGCCAGAAGGAAATCAACTCAGAACTCTGACTGAAGACGCTATGAAGAAGACAGCTTCAGTATCTGAAGCAACACCCAGGCAAGAATGTCCGTGGACAGAATGCACTCTGCATCCACAGACGAATCTTTTTGAATACATGGGGAGACAGAGCGCTGCTGGATGGAAAGGGTCTCTGCTTTGTTTGTGTGTTTTCCAGGACAGGGTTTCTCTGTGTGGCTGCGGCTGTCCTGGAACTTGATCTGTAGACCAGGCTGGTCTCCAACTCACAGAGATCCACCTGCCTCTGTCTCTTAAGTGCTGGGATTAAAGGCATGCGCCACCACCACCTGATTCAAGGGTCTTTATCTGCTATCAACCTTACAACTTTTTACCTAACAGGCTTCCTGATGGCCACCATGACCTGATTCAGAATGTTTCCACTAAGCTATTTGTGACCTTTTCTTCTGCTACCTGTACCTATATATACACAATCCATCACAACACATGGGAAGATGATATTTGTTGAACTGTTATCATACTATTTTACAGCACTGGACATCAGGGACTATCGGGGAAAAGGTCTGACAAAAAGTTTGAGTGACAGGAAGCTGCCACTTATTTACCGTGAGGTAAAGACCTCACTCACCTCAGTGCAGATGGAGTATTTGGTGGGTTAAATAAGAGAAGTGGATAGGAAATCCAGTAGGGACTGGCAGAGACCAGCAGGGACTAGCAGAAACCAGCAGGGACCGTGGCAGCAGGGCCCCCGCAAGGATGCTTCTATTTCCTTCCCTTTATTAATATCAAAAGAAGGAAGATCTGTGGAACTAATGCATGCAAAGTACTTTCAAACGAGGGAGTAATTGATCTAGTCATACATATTAAGTAATTCTTCACAGATCAAGAAATATTAGGCTTTTGACTGAATTAACTTTCTAATGAATTAGAAACAATTTGGAAAAGGTCTTTAGAGTGCCTAGCATCTGCTCCAGGCAATATTGTGGGGCCTTGTTTTATTTTCATAACAATGAAAGCATTCAAAACACAAGGAATTCCGCACTGTGGGTTTTCCTTGGTAACATCTAAGCTGATGCTGGTGCAGACAAACGTGTTCCCTTGCTGTTCATATATTTTGGAAAAGATATGGAGCATTTCATTTTTTCCCCATGAATTCCTTCAAAGGGAAGTCTTCTACAAAGGCCACTGCAGTTCAGCTTGTGGGGACTCCTGGCTCTTCTGTCAGAGTCTGAGATTGTGCCTCCTGAACCCTGGAAATCCAGCCTCTTTCTTGACTCAAGTCTACACTGACTTCTCCAAAGTGTCATTCAAGAAAACTGCCAAGTGTTGCGACTAGGGGACGCTCACCTCCATCTGGTCTGTCTCCCATATTTACGTCTACTGTCTCACCTTCACAGAAATTAGAACATGATGCTGCCCTGCCACGTACGACATGCACACCAGCACTGTACAGGGCACCTTATTTATGAAAAAATGAGATAAAACAGATGCCAGGGTCCTCTGGAAATCAAAAAGCACCACACACATGAAGGTATAGTTATCTAAGTGTGAGTGTGACGTTAATTTCTTAGGGGTAGGGAATTGGAGACCTGTTTACTAATTCCCAGGGACAGGCATTATCTATCTATCTATCTATCTATCTATCTATCTATCTATCTATCTATCTATCCATCCATCCATCCCCCTCTCTCTATTCTTTGTGTTCATGCATGTGTGTGTATGTGTGTGCATGTGTGTGTATGTGTGTGTGTGCGCATGCGAGTGCAGCATGCCACAGTTCACATGTGGAAGTCAGAGGAGGGGAGCGAGTTGATTTTTCTCTTTCCACATGTAAGTTCCAGGGATGAAGCTCAGGTTGTCATGCTTGGTGGTGGGTGCCCTGACCCACTAAGCCCTTGCTGGTCCAAGACAGAGCTATTCCATAGTGGTTTAGATTAAGAACAGGGAATTAAATACTACCCTGGCATTACAGTTTCAATATTTGTTAATGAACAAGTTTGACAGGTGGAATGGATATTATGCTGATCTTAATTTAATTTTTAACTTAGACTTTTTTCAAAGTAGATCTTCTGGGCAGATTTCAAGAAGGCAAAATTCCCCTGAGTTGCTGCGGTCACTTACAACCTGAAGATTTCTGGCCTTGGGCTGGCATTCCAAATCTCTGTCGAGGGGCTCAGAGGACTGGGAAGGTGTAGAGGGGTTTCTAAGCATGAGACACTGCCGTGGGGGATCTCCTACCAACTCTCTCTCTCTCTCTTCTTTTAGCAGAAAAGAAATTGAGCTTAAAGGTGGACTTCTCTATTTTATGGGAAACACAGAGAGGATTAATCCACCAAGTTGTAAGCCTCTTGGGAGAAACCCTTGGGGGAGGGGCACCGGAACCATGCTGCTGGTTGGGGAGACGGTTCCTTAGAGGGTTTTTAACTGCTATTTCCAACCCGTTGAAACCCAAGTTGAGAAGCTCAACATATAAGCTCAGGGGAAGGCACGGTCTGGGGTCAGTGTTTCAGACAGCTGAATAAAAGCCAACAGATTTAAAAAATTTATACAGCAAATGACCCCAACTCCAACTGGGGAAGATTAAGAGAAGGAACAAAACAAAGTATCAACTGAGCCCCTGGCTGTAATTAAAGGCCGGTGAACTGCACTGTACCAATAACGAAATCACCGAGTCCTTTATATTTTGGATGGTTAACGTTCTGGAATGCACTATTTTAAGCAGCATGCATTCATTACGCCGTGGATTTTTGTCCTTGCGAACACATTCTCCAAACCAGTTCCTAAACTGAAATGAATACAGCCGAGAGAGCTGCAATCCCAGAATCTCTTTGTCTTATTGATCAGATTCCGGTAGAGTCATCCCCCTCCCCCCCCGCCCCCCACTGCAGCTAAAGTGCTATATTGAACTGCAGGATTCTAGAAGGCGTCTAATAAGCTCTGGGCTGCCAATGGAGTCCGTCTTCATCAGTCATTCGATCGCTGTTAGTCGAACCCGCGAGGTAAATAAGATGGCTTGCAGCGGCTCTGCCGCAGCCCATCAACCTGCTAGCCTGCTTTCTGCTTTTGGGTTTTCCTCCCCTGGCCGGATAAAGGTCCATTTAGTTTTCTCAAGGCATGACAACTCCTGAAAGGGATGCATTTCAGGGTGTGGTGACAGGGGGGAAAAAGTGGGGTTATCAAAAGTATTCCTGGCCCTGTTTGGGATTCTGAAGAAGAAGGGGCGGGCACGATTTTGCTGGGTTACTCTGCTCTGACAATAGGCGGAAGAGGAATTAATCCCTCTTTGAAAAGACTCTGCCCTGGGTGGAGAGATTTCACAAATGATCGGGAGCTGAGACAGGTTATTTTTGGTTACTGAAGGTGCCTCAGTCAATATCAGTTAAATGTTCATTAAAGACCCATCCTGCCTTACTCAGGAAGACGAGGGTCTAGAAATGACTGAATTTTAATGACTAGATAGAGACCACGTGGTTCAAGGCTGCACACCATGTCTCTGAGGTGTTTCCATCAGATATATTGAACCACACATGTGTCCCGCAAATACTCAGGGCAGGAAATGGAAGAAAGGCTTGGGGAAGGAAGCCTCCATCCTCCCTCTTTAAAAGAACCTCATTTGAAACAGCAGCAGATTTAAAGACAATCACCCAAGCCCAGAGAACAGGAAAATTTCTCCTTTTCTCCCCTTTCCCATAATCCATTCTATTTACAAAAACCGTAAGCCCCATCACTGCCACCTCTAAGAACAATTTAGTATCGAGAGACAACCTTGCAGGCCAAAGCAGTAAGCAGTATAATCGTGGTTTCTAGAACGTTCTCTCCACATATTACTTCCTTGAGTTAAAATATTGAGTGTTTTCCAAAGACTTTCAAAAAGACAACAATCTCACTAAACAGTTGAGAAAAAAAGTTAACAGCTAAGGCAAAACAATTATAGTCAGATTTTCACCTTTGAGTTCTCAGCTAATGTGTGGGAGGCGGAGAAAGGCTCTCAGAGCTGCGAGCTCAACCTCCAACGACAATGAGAAGAGCTGATTCTACCCACAGTCGCCCTTACGCCCTTATCTCAGCAACGAGGGGCAAAGGTGCAGAACTAGCTGCTCACCTGACATGGATGTGTCATCACCGTCTAGCTATGGCTGACTCAAATTTCTGAACAGAGATCCAGGGACACAGCTGAGTGGACGTTTGTCCCGAGGAGGGAAGGGCTGACCGACAGACCACTCTTTTCAAATACTTGTGCCCGGCAGAGTTGTTATTTCTAACTGTCCATTGCGATAACGTGGGATGGTGTAATGACTCCCACTAGGGTTGGTCTATATAAACACGTCAGCTTGGGAGGAAATGATCTCCTAGGAAGCTATTACTTTCCCCCTGAACTTCTCCACCATCCGGCCAATTTGCATCTTAAAACCTACGGTTTTCGTCTTCCTTTCCTTGTGACCTGACCCTGTCCCAGTTACAGGTCCTTTTCCACGCAGAGCGAAGACTTTTGTGAGCACAGCGAGACCAGCTGGCTACAACTAATTGGCTGAGAAGGGGTTTCAACAACGGGCATATGTATCCATCTCCTCGAGTGGGCTGGTTCCAGCTAGCTCCGGAGAGCACAGAGCGCAGAACGCTTTACAAAACGGCACAGGTCAACTTCGGGCGCGGCGGGTGAGCAGGCACCCGCTGGGAGCTAGCGGCTAGGTATCTAGCCGCGGGACCTGCTGCGGGTGAAAGGCAAGCATATCACGGAGGCTTCGAACGAACACCTTACCTGAGCCATCTGCCTCTCCAGCTTTGACCGGGGGATATCATCGAAGTAGTTCTCGGTTCTTCTCCGCCTTGCATCGCCCTGCATGATAATGTGAGGGACGTCTAGGGAGCCGCCAGTGGTGTAAGTGCTTTGGCTAAGTGATGGAGACAACTGAGGAGGAGTGTGGTTACCACTGGCTTCCTGAATGGAAATACATCATGAAGTAAATACCATGCTCTCGGG